CATCGCAGATGGAAAGCTGCTGTGCGGAGCCCTACACGACGAGTTGCAGAGGCCACTGAAGGGAAAGGAGAATCAAGCCAATATGCAGACGTAAAGGCTGTCCAATTGGCCTTGGATGTTGCTGAACGGGAGAGGTGGCCGATGCTTTATCTTTACACTGACTCATGGATGGTGGCAAATGCTCTGTGGGGGTGGTTACAGCAGTGGGAACAGAATAACTGGCAAAGAAGGGGTAAACCTATTTGGGCTGCTGAGCTGTGGAAAGATATTGCTGACCGAATAAAGAATATGGTTGTAAAGGTGCACCATGTAGATGCTCATGTGCCCACGAGTCAGGCTACTGAAGAACAGAAAAATAACCATCAGGTGGATCAAGCTGCCAAAACTGAGGTGGCTCAAATAGACCTGGATTGGCAGAACAAGGGTGAATTATTTCTAGCTCGGTGGGCACATGAGACCTCGGGCCACCAAGGAAGAGATGCAAGATACAAATGGGCTAGAGACCGAGGGGTGGACTCAACCATGGATGCTATTGCACATGTTATCCATGACACTTGTAACGGATCTGAGCGTTCTAAGGGCAGTGAGAGACAGCGATGCTCATTTCTGGGTGTGTACTGGTAGTGCAAAATGCAGTGCTGTTCAGAAGTGTGGTCCGATGCTTGTGTTCACGGTTTCCAGACAGTGGTACTTGCTGAAATACGGAGAAGAGGGCTTGGGGTTTTGAGCAGGTTGGAGGCGAGGACGGGGAAAGCTGGCTGAGGGGTGCTGGGTGTTTTGTTTTCAGGTATAGAAGTCGCGTTTGATGGCTTTTGCGTGGGCTCACAAAGCGTACATCGAGTTTTCCTTTTCTGCCAGAAAGACTTAAGTTGCCCGAAGATATACTGGGGGGCTGGAACCCTGAGACAAATCTGGCCACTGTGCCTGATTTGTAGCCTGCTAATGTCTAGCTCGGGGCAAGGAGGGGGTTAAAAAAGAAAGGAAAAAAAAGATGGCAAGTCCCATAGCTGCCCCTCCCCCCATCGTGCTTAATCGGTCTTTGTAGCTTTGCTTGGCATGTGTCAGTTGCAGAAAGGCAGTAATTTGAAGAGCAGCGCTTGAATGGGGAAGAACTATTTCACCAAGAACTATGAATAACTATTTCACCGCGTTCTTGTGGATGGTTCTTTGCTCGCCTTACTTCGCTTCCTGCCCTCTCCGCTCTTCTTTGTGTTGTAGCAGGCTACGTTACGTAACGTTATTTCCTTCTCCAGCTTCATAGGCGTTTGAAGACTGTTGGCGAGAAGTGTGCTGCTCACCTGGGCCTGACCGATGGATTCCAGATGGCTGTGAGATACCCACGCTCCAGCCCTTCAGACTACCGCACGCGTCTTCTGGATTCTGGGTGGCCGTCAGTTGGGCCAGCCTCCTGGCTAAGATGTTTGCCCCGCAGGAGTTGCTGCATGTGTACGGATCGCCACCGAATGGATTTCATGTGTCGCCCATCAGTCTAGCCACCGTTGACATATAATTGTTTTTGGTGGGTGCCTGTGGAGAGTAATGAAAAGCTTTGCGCAGCATTTGCACAATAAAGATGGAGCATGGGGATATCATCTCTGTCTTGTGTGTCTTACTGATGGAAATGGTTCTGCAAGTTGAAACGGTGGGTCCCGTCTCCCAAAGATAATATAGGATGTGCCGTGTGTTTGAGGCCTTGCCATCTTCCCCCTGCTTCCAAATAAAAGGGCGTGGGATTTAACGCGTAATCCCATCATCGATAAGCAGCAGGCATAGAATTATAGAGGAATAAGGTTTGAAGAAAGGTTCCAGGTATCATCTGTCGTATGGCCCTGTCCCGATGCTGAACAATCTCCACCCGCATGATTTCTGACCGGTGCTCGTCAGCCTGTTCTTAACCAATCTTGGGGTTTTTCCACCACTTCTGCTTTCTTTTCAGTCATGGATTTTGGGACGGAGAGAATTTATTTCTCCCACAGAAACTTTCCCAAATGGAACAGCCTTTGTGATACTTGAGAAGGCAATTGCTGCGCTTCTGCTGTCTTTGATATTGGGCTGCTCTTCTCCATTTTTCTTTTTTAATACGAACAAAACATTATAAAAAAACCCAAAAACAATAAGGTAGCATTGTTCCATAACTAGAAGGAGGGGCAGCTACAGGCTCCAGAAGGCTCGCTTGGAATAAAGAAGGGAGATTCTCCTTGGCCCTCCTCTTGCTATTAATATGTTCGAAGAAGCAATTTTTTAATCATCTCGAACAATGGTGTCCAGATTAAGGTCTCGCTGGGCATTTGCCTGTCTAATTTTCTCCATGCGTATCCCAGCAACATCCTTGTAGACTTCCCGAGTTGCCTGTCCCTTCTTCCAAAGATGGCAAACTCTTGGCCTGGCCAGCCAATACGCTGTCATTTGACGGGAGGGATCGGCACCAAAAAGCCTCGAACACGCTTGGGGAGGAGCCGATAAGGGCAATCCCTAATACCCGCGGCCTGTTCTGCAGGCCTCGTTTGTCCGCCGCAGGGGTGCAGCACTTAGAGGGCACAGATTCCTTTCGCGGTGGCGGCCACCCGGTCCCCCAGGTCTCATCCCCGCGATCCCGGAGGTGCGCGCAAAGTCCCTCAAGGCCCGATAAGCACAGGGCCGACGGGACCGGATCCGAGAACAGGGCGGGGACAAGCATAAAGGGCACGCGGGAGAGCCAACCGAGGCGCGCGAACGGCGGGCGTCGCTTTGTGGGCCCAATGAGCGCCGCCGAGGGTGGGGCCGGAACTTAGGAGAGGCGTGCCGAGCCGTGCTGAGGGGTGGAGGATCGTGGCTGCGGGAGTGTTGTAGTGAGAGCGCTCCGTCATGACCGGCGGTATTGTTAGGTCGCCGGCCGCCTGGCGCGGTGGCGCCGCTCTCTTCGGAAAAGTCGCCCGTCATGCGTTCTCCCCCGACGTTATCCGCGAGGAGGAGCCGTTGTGGACGTGGAGGTAGCCGCGGCTTTGCTGTGCGGTGTGCGATTCTTCCCTTGCCCTCCCTTCCCACCCCTCCCCCACCCTGGCGCGCCCGCAGGCCCTCTGGAACGGGCGCCCGTTGCGGTGCCGGCGAGTGCGGCGGGGCGGGCGGACGGGCCTTTCTGGCTGGTGATGCTCGCTACTGCAGCGCCTCCTCTCAAAGCACGCGCTCCTTCGCTGCCACGGGGCTGCCGTGGCTCGCGTCCTGAGTTTCTGGTGCCGTCTGGCTCGCCTAGCTTCCCAGCGCCCCCGTGTGGTGCGCGCGCGTGTGTAGAGGCGGGCCTGTGACGCTGAAGCGCTTGGTGGCAGTCGCGGGCGCTTGCCGCTCGCGATATCTATCCCTTTGGCGCTGCTAGTCGTGCTAGTTCCATTAGAATTAGTTGACCGTTTCCTACAGGTCGGTGGTATTCACGTGTCGAAGGCAATAACCTTTGCGGCGATTTGGAAGCGTCTGACGTAGAGCCAGCCTCACCGCGCGAATCCAAAACGTTATTTTGTCTGTGTGTGTGGTGTTCTTGAGGACAGAGAGTTAACAAGGCCTCAGTCGGGAGGAGTCCAGCTTCGTTGAAAATGCCTTGGTCAAAAGTAGGATAGGAAGGCGATATTTGGCCATAACTGAAGGATGGTGAGCCACCGTTTGCCGCTTGAGTAGTTACGCAGGGTCTCAATAAGAGAGTGAAATAAGTGCAAATGGAGGTGGTTTTGTTTGGGTTTAAAATCGCTCTGTGCTCTTAGCAGCCGGAGCCTGTGAAAACGTGTTTTGTGCATAGAAGGGAGAGGACTTGGCCAATTCAAAGATTACTTAGGAAGAATCGCCGTGTTGTCTTGTGTTTGGGGAACGAGTTCAGTGGCGCGTAGCCATCTGCTTGAGCAATTCCCTTTTTCCGAAGCCAATCCCGTGTTAACCGTGTACTCTTCCTCCAGTGCCTTGCGTTCCATAATATTTCACCGCGAGCTCCTGCGCTTTTTCCTAGCCGCTCGTGAGAAGGCCGTTGTCAGGTTATCTGAAGCAGAAGATTCTGGCGCACCCGTAAATACCGTGGAAGCTTTCTGTACACTAAATGGTGCCTGTAAGAGCTACGTGATTTTGTAGACTCTGTCTCGCTGCCTCGTTTCCTCTTGATGTTGCAAAGAGGCAGAGAAGGCCATTTGGGGTTTTAAAACTCCATAGTCTTCTGCCTCAAGCTTGTAACGTAGCTGAATGTTTTGACTAAGGGCAGTGAGAGACAGAGATGCTCATTTCTGGGTGCGTACTGGTAGTGCAAAATGCAGTGCTGTTCAGAATTATGGTCCGATGCCTGTGTTCATGGTTTCCAGACAGTGGTACTTGCTCAAATACGGAGAAGAGGGCTTGGGGTTTTGAGCAGGTCGGAGGCGAGGAAGGGGAAAGCTGGCTGAGGGGTGCTGGGTGTTTCGTTTTCAGCTCTAGAAGTCAAGTTTGATGGCTTTTGCGTGGGCTCACAAAGCCTACACTGAGTTTTTCATTTCTGCCAGAAAGACTTAAGTTGCCCGAAGATATACTGGGGGGCAGGAACCCCGAGACAAATCTGGCTACTGTGCCCCATTTGTAGCCTGGTACTGTCTAGCTGGGGGCAAGGAGGGGGTTAAAAAAGAAAGGAAAAAAAAGATGGCAAGTCCCATAGCTGCCCCTACCCCCATTGTGCTTAATCCGTCTTTGCTTTGTACCTTTGCTTGGAATGTGTCAGTTGCAGTAAGGCAGTACTTTGAAGAGCAGCGCTTGAATGGTGAAGAAGTATTTCAACGCGTTCTGTGGATGGTTGTTTTCTTCGCCTTCCTTCGCTTCTTGACCACTCTGCTCTTCTTTGTGTTGTAGCAGGCTAAGTTACGTAACATTATTTCCATCTCCAGCTTCATAGGCGTTTGAAGATTGTTGGCGAGAAGTGTGCTGCTCACCTGGGCCTGACCGATGGATTCCGGATGGCTGTGAGATACCCACCCTCCGGCCCTTCAGACTACCGCACGCGTCTTCTGGATTCTGGGTGGCCGTCAGTTGGGCCAGCCTCCTGGCTAAGATGTTTGCCCCGCAGGAGTTGCTGCATGCGTACGGATCGCCACCGAATGGATTTCATGTGTCGCCCGTCAGTCTAGCCACCGTTGACATATAATTGTTTATGGTGGGTGCCTGTGGAGAGTAGTGAAAAGCTTTGCGCAGCATTTGCACAATAAAGATGGAGCATGGGGATATCATCTCTGTCTTGTGTGTCTTACTGATGGAAATGGTTCTGCAAGTTGAAACGGTGGGTTTCCGTCTCCCAAAAATAATATAGGTTTTTCCGTTTGTTTGAGGCCTTGTCATCTTCCCCCAGCTTCCAAATAAAAGGGCGTGGGTTTTATCACGTAACAGCAGCATCGACAAGCGGCAGGCGTAGAATTATAGAGGAATAAGGTTGGAAGAAAGCTTCCAGGTATCATCTGTCGTATGGCCCTGTCCCAATGTTGAACAATCTCTGCCCACATGATTTCTGACCAGTGTTCGTCAGCCTGTTCTTAACCAATCTCTGAGTTTTGCCACCGCTTGCGCTTTCTTTTCAGTCGTGGATTTTGGGACGTAGAGAATTTATTTCTCCCACAGAAACTTTCCCAAATGGAACAGCCTTTGTGATAGTTGAGAAGGCAATTGCTGCGTTTCTGCTGTCTTTGATATTGGGCTGCTCTTCTCCATTTTTCTTTTTTAAT